AAGCCAGCGTCCTCCATGAAACCCATGTGGAGTGATAAGATCTAGAAGAGGGCAGGACCTGGGATGGGGACGAGGACTGGGGACCTGATCTCTCTTTCAAGGTGATCCGTCAAGAGTGTGTGTATTGGTGGTGATCAAGGGAAGGGGAACTTGAGTACTGAGAGGTGTTGGGGGTGAATGGGGACGTGTGAAGTGAGTGCGGTCTAGATGTGGTGCCATGTTGGACAGGTTGGACAGGCATGATCCGTATCGAGCAAGTTGATGAAGAAGGAGCGACCCGTTCTGGGAGGAAGGACCCCTCCCTCTCCTTCCCTCTCTCTCACCAAGCAGACACATAGCGTTTGTGACGATACGGATACACAGCTCAGTCATTCTCACACTATCCAACACTGAACCATGATCAATCATGACCCAACGGTGCACACACACACACTGGACCGTGAACACATCACAACCACCATTCACGGGGAGACCGTGACGATGGAACTATGACATGAACACTGACAACAGTGGTAACCTGGGGGATTTAAACAATCTCACACACAGCCCTCATCCACGTCAATTTGAGCCATTCAGCGCACTGGCGCTGCGTTCGCCATGCACAACGCACGCTCACCTCAGCTTGACTTCAGTTAGGAGTGACAAGGTAGGGCTGGCTGAGCGATACATTGTGTAAACCAATCCACTTCAAAATGATGGCCGCCAGGCTCACAGCTGCACCTGTGCATAGGCATGAATGAGATGGAGATGCCGCCAGCGAATGGCCAGTTCTTGAAGATCGGATGAGGTACCGTAATGGCCCATGTCATCAACATGTGGGGAGCTGGTGAAGGGAGGGATGGAGGGGGCAGATGAGGTTGGGATGATGGAAGTCATGGAGAAGTCGGACTCGACGTTGAAACTCCCACACAACACGTAAGCCTCATCCAGCGTTGACCAAAGGGGTGTCCGGATCTCCCGTTTGGGTCACCGTGCACTTCCATGTCAGATGAGTGGATGTGGATGCGTGTGGATGAGGTCTCAAGTCTCTGTCTGAATCTAGACTCTCTTTCAAGTGGCCCCAAACTTGGGGACATGAGATGGAAGGAGCGCAGCTGGGAAACATGGGTATGCAGTAGGGGAGGGAAGGTGCAACAAACAGAAACGGCAAGAGCAAGAGGCAACACGGGTTAACCAGCAACGAACAAGCAAGTCGGAGCGAAGCAAAGCAAGAGAGACTCTTGTGTCTCCTTCCCCATTTCAGTCCTCTCACTTTCTCCAAGTGCGGAGAGAGGAATGCGCAAAACTCTGATGCTGGGGAAAATTGCGTAGAATAATAAAAAGAGGCAGCAGACTAAAACCAAAACACTGGGGGATGCAGGTTGCCATGGGCGCGTGTATGTGTTATAGTAGAGTATAATATAAAAACGAAACCACAACACATACCTGTACCTCTCTCCTCATTAGCACGCCGGCTATCTCTGCGCTTCTATGGCTGCTGGGCGCAATCAACCGTCCGCGATATCGGGTAGTGGTGAGCTGTTTGGGTAGCACAGTAATTTGCGGGAATCGCGATCCCGACCTGCACAACGCTCGCTCCGTGGTGTTGCTGTTGTTGCTGCTGTTGTCGATGTGTGTTTTGCAAGATGTGCAATAATAAAACGACAAGGCCCCAGAGTTTAACGTTGCGTTGGTCCTGGGTCTTTGTCTCTCGTCAAGTCGTTGCTTGTTGGGCGGCTTAGCAAGTGTTGGCCAACTATGATATCAAACCGCTTGACGCAAGAAAGAAGCCGCGGTGCCGGAACGGCCGAAGGGAGCACTGGGCGTAGTATGCGCCGCTGTTGGTCTTTGTGTGCGTGTGAATGTGTCCCGCCGTAAACCGAGATGATGATAATGGGTGTTGATGGCTCAGGATTGGGTGGTAATAGTCGAGGGCGCGTCGTGTGTTCGTCAATCGAGGTGGATAAAATAAGACGGGTATCTATCAATCAATCACTCAATCGTCTGTGATGCTGACTGGCGAATCCGGCAGAAGTGTCTCACGCCCGGGAGTTGTTGGGTTAAGGTCGGATGGTCACGCTATGAGGTGTGCCGGGATGACGGGATGTTGCGCGCGCGGTACTTGGGTAACCCTCTGCAGTGTAAGATATGTATGAATGTATATCCTCGGTTTCTGCTGCTGAGGTTAGACTTGTGTTGTCGTGTCGTCGTTGGGTCAAAGATTATGACGGACCAGGGCGCAGGGAAGGCGTGGGTAGGTAGGGGACTGGAACTCGACTCGATGCGTCGTAGAAGGAGTTGGAGCCAGGAACTTGAAACAAGAAGCCGACGGGACGGTGAAAGGGGGACTCAAGAGGGCCGTGATATGTAGTATTGATATTGCTAAAGTTGTGAAAAACAAACAAAAAAATCTTCAACAGTCAATAATAAGACCCAACATTCTCCCGCCCTCGGGGAGGCAAGGCGAGTGGGAAGATGCACCCTGATTTTCCCGCCCAGAACAGCACTCATCATCGCTCCTAGATTGGTTCTGGATCTCCATTGGACCATCACGGTGGGCGATTGGGCCTGAAAGAGGGTCTGGAGACGGTCTGGTTCGGAGAGAGATCAAGGTTGTCTTGCAAAGATGTGAAGACGGCCAAGGGGACGCCATGATCTCCACACTGCAAGTATGATGTATTCGCGACGCCGCATCCCTGCCTTCCCTGCCGGCGCTGCCCTTTTCCCCCCACTGCCGCTAGCAGAAAAGGTGGAGGAACTGGGCATTCTTGGCACCGATAGGGTCGCACTCGGTGGGTCACACAGGTCCGCCCAAACTTTGTGATTTCCACTTTCTTGGTTTGGGGTCGTCTTCTTGTCGTTTTTTACCCAGCATGACACTCATCGATCGCAGTCCATTATCGCTTACCATTTTCTGACAGAGACTTCCGAAGGGTCCGGATGGGCAAGTTGAAGAGGATCATGATGGAATTGGACATTAATATGATGGTGTAGAAAAAAACGTCGACATTCTCAGCCAGGTCTGTCCAACACAAAACACCACGTTTTTAGTGCACGCAACTGTTACGAACGAGACGAGCCAACCGATGCCAATGTGGCCGCTTGCGTATACCCGCTCACACATGTATACGCATATACATACATCACATACACATGTCACACACTCCAAACACGACGAGTAAGTCCGTCCAGGACCGGAAGAAGCACACATTAGATCGAACAAAGGGGAAACAGGTTATCGTGTCGTTTTGAGGTTCAACAGCCAAAAGAATCAGGATGTCACCAAGCTGCCAAGACAACAACGGCACCACCAACGGCCAACTTAAATCCAACCGTAACAGGTCTTGATTCTCCCCTCCTCTACGGTCTACACACACGTGCGTATTTCCCTCCTCCCTCCCGTTGGTGCTTCTGCGGCCGCGGTACCTTAAGCGACAGCACATCACAACACGGCACCGCACTCTTTGGGATCTGTGGGATCTGTCGAGATCTGATGGCGATGATCATTGTATTAGGTTGAGAGGCCTCTCAATGACAGATCTGGAAACGTGGGTAATTCCGACGACATGTTTGGGATATAAATTAATCGTCAATGGGTAATAATCGTTCGAGGTTGAGGATATCTCAAGTATCTACCTCTAGGTACTTCCAGTATTCCGGGACCCCCTTCAATGCGATGCATGAACGGCTGTCCTGGCACTTTTACCCTGTGTCTTTTTTGCCTCAACATGCGCTGTCAGGGACATACATGACTCTGCACATATGTACCTACGGAAATAACGGCAACTTCACACCGCCATCAATTCTCTATCAAAACTATTGTGCCGCATGACTTTTCTTTCCTCTGTCAAATTATGCAAAATCTTAAAACGCATAATTCCCGTCGCTACACTAACAAACCAGCGCCAAAGCAGCGCAGGACCCATGGGTTCTCTCTAAGGCACATGGAGCACCTCCACAGCTTCCCTTTCCCTACGTCATGATGGCGGGGCCGTTGTCCGTCAATCAGGGCAGGCACCGCTAGCTGCTGACCCATTTGACCAATTGAGCCATTGGGTACCAAAATACAAGGGTTTTGTGCCAGTCTTGTCTCGCTGGGCACCTTCTCGCTTGTCGCTTCTCGTCTTTTTTCTTCACTTTGAGATTTCCTCACAAGCATCCAATCCCGAGTCCCGAAGCGAATGCAACGCGCGCGACTCGAAAGGGAACTGCAGACACTTTTTACGCGCTTTCACACATTATCAACGCCGTTATTGACGATTCATGATATAAAGTTCGCGTTCAACTACGCCCGGCGGCCGAGGTGCGCTAGCACTGAAGCAGTGCTCAGAATGCCCTCATAACTCTTCCGAAACCCTGACGCAAAAAAGAACAAAGAACCCCGGACGATCCCTCGACCTCAATCGAGTTGTAAGCCAAGACTCAGGGTCCAATGGAAAAGTGAACACGGCAAAAATCATAGCGTCAAGAAACCCAAAATCCGAGGGAAAAAGTCACCGAGGAACGAAACAAATGGAAGGATCGCCGAGGCCCTGCTAGTGGCTGATTTTTTGGGCACCTTGACGGCCGACGACAACCACTATCGAAGTCCATGGAACGGACAACCCTCCGAGATCGCCCGTCCGTACCCTCGCCGCCGCCGCCTTCCCCCCGGCGCTTCCGGTTCCTTCGGCCTGTCGTCGTCACGGTACTGTAGCATGATCGACCGTCGCCTTATGGCTCGCTTAGCTTCGTCGGCTGATGGCTTGTTGCGGAAGAACCCTCATCCCCGTCGTCGACTTAGCACTGCCGCGTTTCACATCATAGCCCTGGGCCTGACAGAACCAGGGACTCGGGACCCATGTGTTGACTTTGATACCTTCTGCAGTTGCTTCAATGGCTAGCTTGAACCAACATGTTCTAATACTCCAATGACTATGGCTAACCACACCTGAACAGAAGCACTCCTCCCAGACACACAAGATTAGTCCCTCCAGAACCTGCGAGGCTGTGGCTGTCGTCGAATCACCGGCCGGTGGTCCTCATCTGCCCTCCGTTTTTTGTAGCCGCTGCAAGTCCAAGACACTTTCGTTCGAAAACGCCTTGCCGAACCGAGCCCTCGCTGCCCCGCCAAACCGGATCGGGGGTTGAGCACCCATATTCCAACGCTCACGGGCAGGAGCCGGGGCCGCTGCCGGCCGTGGTCGCCTTTCTGGCTCTCCGTAAAACCGCCTAGCCCACGCTCTCGATTCCTCCTCGGTCTTGTCCAAGTTGGTGGACCTCAGCTTGAGCTTGATAGCAATCTCGAGCTCCTTGAGCGAGGGCCGCGACATGGGACAGTGATACAAGCACTGCGCAACCAGTTTTCTCAAGTCTCGATCCGTGTCATCGTACCGTCCCGAGTACAACAAATCGCCGCCATACGTGGCATCTCTCACCTGTCGGTCCAACAGCTCGTTAGCCCATACAAACGGTTCCTTTTTCTCGTTGGGCCAACACAGGGTGATCAAGGCATACATGATCTAAGAACGGTCCGAGTTAGCTTCTGAGCGACAAGTGCCGAGTGTCGAGTGAAAAGGGTTACTTACCCAGCCCATCTGCCAGAGGTTCATGGCTTCTCGATAGTTACCTGCTGTCCGTGCCCCATCAGCAGCCGGCGCGCCGGCGAACCAGTCCCATTCTTCGGTGAACTGTTCAGGAGTGTACAGATAAGCCTTGCCGGACTGTCTGGCATACCACACTTTCTTTGTATCACGTCGTTCGCGGGAGTTGTAGATTTCTCCCAAACCCAAGTCGCCAATCTGTTGTTATTGTAGCCATTGTCAGTTAATCAATCATGACCTTCACGCGTCTTTGAATTCCATCCTGTATGAATGAACCAGTCAGTGAACATACCTTGTGTATCGGCACATTGGAATGGTGTCTTAGGCCAAACATTCCAAAGCCTCCCACCAGTACTGTTTTCTCTCTTGTCAGCAACTATTCCCCTTTGCTTTGCAATATGTGTCAAAAACTCACTATTAGTAGGATCAATATCAAAATGCACCATAGGATCCACCGGGTCATCTTTGAACATCATGGCCGACTCTTCCACCCTCCAATCCTTTTCGGGATAAGCCAAAGCAACCAGGCCACGAGCGAGACAGTCGAAGATGTTCCATAGCGCCCCGTCGCTGAACTTTTTTCGTTCTTTGGCCATCTTGACGATCCATTTCTCTAGGGTACCGCGCTCCATGAACTCGAGGAAGAGTCCGCCGGCTACGAGGTCGCTCTCTTCGATGGCTTCTTCGGCTGCGAGGTTGTACATGTGAAGGACGTGGTGGGCGTTGCGCATCAACTAGAGAGAGTGAGTTAACATCGGTTCTGGTTAAGGATTTTTGACCCGGTTCTGGCTCGAGTGGTATTGATCCTCGCTTTAGAGTCCCTTCAAAATCTTCAAACCACTTGTCTGAAGTTCTCTTAAATTCCTTCGCCCCCTCTTCACCCTCCTTTTACTCTTTCTTCGTCCTCTCTTCATCCTCTCTTCGAATTTTCTTTAACTTTCGGGGTGGGTTCTCCTCAGAATTCTCTCTTAAGGAACCCTTCCAATTGCTCTTCTCAAATCCGGTTTCCCTCAACTCAAGCTTCAAACTCCAGTCCCTTCCCTTCGCCAATTAAGTTTCTCCCCATATTCCTCCCCACCTTACCTTCCTCTCTCTCTCCCAGTTCCCCCTCCCATAATCAAAGAAGAGAAAGAAATAAAACATACCTCATAATTCCTCCTCTCCATCTCCAACGTCCCCCTCGCCTCAAGCTCAATCTTCACAACAACCTTATCCCCCCCTCCCCCCTGTCCACCTCTGCCAGCCCCAGTCATACTAAACAAACAAGCCATCCCAAACCCTCCCCAACCCAGCACCTTCTCAAACCTCATGCCCTCGTGCGCCAGTAATCTCTCCAACCGTTTCGCGCGCCTCTGCACCCCAGAATTCGGACTCTCCTGTCTTCCATCCTCCTGACTCTTTGCGTAGGGGGCCGGTTCCCTAAACGTGCTGCGGCCGGGATGGGGTGGCGGCGGCCCGAAACCGGGCCAGCGCGCTGGGTGACGACGGGGGAACCCAAGGTTGTGAATGGCGTCTCGGCGTCTGTGCTTGGACCAGGAGGAGGCGCGGCCGGCGCGGTGGTAGGCGAAGTAATCGGTTTGTTCGCGTTGGACGTCGCGGAAGCCCATTTTTGTTTGGTTATGGTGTTTTGGTACGGGTACAATCAGTTGGGTGTCTTGTGATTTGATCGATGAGAATTTGGTGATGTTACGTGGTGGTTCTTGTTTCTGGGTTAACTAAAAAGCAACGACAATGGATCTTTTACACCGGGCAAGTATATCAGTGTGTTCTTGCGGCCAGCCGGGGTCAACTCTGGATGGAATGACTATCGGTAGGCTGGCGTTAATATATTGTCAATAATTTTATGATGTCCACATAGAGCAATGTGGTTCTTTCTCTCGAATCAACATGTGGCTTGAACAGCGAGACCAGATCCAAGACCCCCATAAAGGCCACTACCAGTCCAAGGACAAAGCATGTAGTGCAAGGTCAATGGCAGCTTTGGGCAGTCAGCCCCAAAGGAGCAAGATCGGATGCCATTGAAGATATTCCCGGAAGCGGGTGGACAGACAAAGGATAGGCCACCTACATCGAGATATTCGTTGTAGCCGATTGTGCTTATAGCCACACACTGTTCATAACAACTCATTGTTCACAATCATCTCACGACAGAACATGTCCAAGTCCAAAGTCTGGTATTATTATCCAATGTCCCCATTACATCCTCCTCCATTAGCTTCAGTATCTTGGGTATCCTACAATCATCTCGTCTTGTACACATGACCAACGCGTTTCAGAACAGCAACCCAAACAAGTTGCTCCGGCCATAATTCCCTTCGTTAACCGTCATAAAAAACATGATAAAAACATCCTCTGCGCTTGCCGCTGACTCTTCTTCCTTTCTATCCAAAGCAGACCAAGTACATGATGCTGCGCTTCGCGATACATGATGCCATGCTATGCCATGTATGTGTATGCCAAAAATGACGTTGCCTTGTCCTTCTTTCCTTTTTTTGATCCAACGTGATGACCTCCCCTGAAGCTCTCTCATATGATACAAGGACAGCTCATACAAAAGGAAGGTTGAAGTGATTGTACATGAAAACAAATGAACATGGAATGTTGATTTGACAAATTGCGGAAATGAGTATGTATCCAAGGACACACTTTGTAGATGACGGTCGGAGATAATGTGGTAGGGGAAAAGAAAAGACGAAAATACCGGTGGCCGGTGGCGGGGGCGCAAAATATCCAACACTCAAAGCCAGAGTGATTTCCTCTTCTCCTTTTGCTTCTTCCTGTCTCTGTATTCCCTGGCTGTTGTCAGCTCAAGGTCCCTTTAGATACCGGCGGCATAATGAAGTAAAACTGACACGGCGCTTCTGTCGTTGGAGTTCCGCACGACGACCATATCCTTGTCCTTCTTCCTCCTGCTCCTGCTGCTGCTCGACTTTTCCTCGTACCTATCCCGCGACGACGCCCGAGACCTGCTCTCGCGGCTGGACTTGCGATGGTGGTGAGCAACAACCAGTGACGTCTGAAGACCCTCGAGCTGGCCGCGAGCTACGCCCAACTGGGCGGAGAGACGGTTGTTCTGGTCTCTCAGATGAGCGGCCTCATCCATACGACGCTCGATCTCATGATGCTTAGCATCCAACTCGGCCCTAAGCTCGGCGGTGGTCACGTCGGGATCCGAGTTGAGTTCATCTTGGAGTCGGATGACCTTGTCCTGAAGCTCCCTCACCCGCTTCACAAGCTCCTCTCTGTTTGTCATGATGGCAGGGAGTTGGTCGGCATCGGCCTGTGCCTTGTTAAGCTTCGCTTCCAGCCTGGACACCTTGTCTTGAAGTTCAGAAACCACTTCACGGACTGCGTCCCTCTCGCCAGATAGAGCGGGAACCTTGTCCGCATCGCTTTGAAGCGTCGCGACACGAACTTCAAACTCGGCAACCTTAGCCTCCAGCTCAGTGACCTTTGACTCCAGCTCGACCTTGGTGACGCTGAGGTTAGCAACTTGGTACTCAAGCTCAGCCTTGGCAGTTTGCAGACCCGGAACCTTGTCCGCCTCGGCCTGGAGAGCGGCGTTGAGACCAGAAAGCGTCATCATGTTGCCCTTCGCTGCCTCAAGAGACTCGCGCATTCTCGCTAACTCTTGCTCGGCGTTGAGCTTTTGAGTGGCAATCGACACGTTGGCAGTCTGTGCTCCCGCCAGATCGGTGTTGAGGGTGCTAAGAAGTGCCTGTCCATTCATCCTATCGGCCTCCAAGTCGTCGATTTGCTTTCTCAGCCCGGCCTTGTCGGATTCGAGACCGTCGATCTGCATGCGGAGGTTGACACCTTCAGCTCTGAGCACGGCAATCTCACCCTCCAACGTGCCGACCTTGTTACTCAGGCCGGCACTAGAGATCTCGAGCTCATCAATACGCGTGGTGAGAGCGGTGGACCTAGCCTCGGCTGTGGTGAGCTTGCTCTCCAGGTCAGCCCGAGCTGCTTCCACTGCGGCCTTGGCCTCCTCCAGTTCCGCCTTCTCCTTCTCCAGGTCGCCAATTCGCAGTCTAAGCTCCATCTCTGCCTTCTCTGCCGCCAGGGCGAGCTTTTGCTTGTCCTCGTCGGCGAGGTGGTTCGCGTCCTTGAGGTCGGAGACCTCCTTAAGAAGTACTTCCTTGGTGATCTTGAACTCGTTAAGGCTGGTGTTCAAGTTTTCGATCTCCTTGTCTCTCAGGTCACGCTGCTCTTCGAGTGCGTTGTTCGTGATCCTCATGGTCGAGATTTGCTGCATGAGACGAGCCTCATGTTCGGACCGATCTCCTTGCAGGGACTTGACATCTTCCTCGAGACGGGTGACGGTAGCCTTGAGAATTTTGGCAGTCTCCTCGAGATCATCCTTTTCTTTCTGGACTTCGCTGAGCATTGCGCTGGTTGCTGCACAGGTAGTCTTGTACTCGGCGGCGGTTCTGCTTTCGTTGTCGAGCTTGTCTTGCAGGTCAGCTTGTATCTCAGCCTTTTGCGCACGCGTAGCGTTCAATTCACCACGCGTGGCGTTCAGATGTTGCTCCAGCTCGGCTATCCTGCGACCTTGCATTTCGAGGTTGTATTGGAGTTCGCCGATGTTGTGTCTTTCTGCCTCCACCTCTTCGTAAGCGTCGTCCCTTTCATTTTCTAGTGCCTCGATATCATCTTCCAAGGCAGCCTGGTTCTGATGAAGCTCTGCCTGGTTCTGATGAAGTTCTGCCACCTGGGCGGTAGTCTCCTCGAGCTGCTCCCTGAGTTTGCGCACATTGTCACGCATATCAATCGCATCGGCCTCCTTGTCAGTCAGCTGTGACTTCAGGTTGTGATGACTAGTGCGCAGCTTCTTGTTCTCCTCCTCCAGCTGGTTCAACTTGCCCAGAAGGTTCTCCTCCTTGTTCTTCTGGTACCAAGCCTTGGCATACTTCTCATCCAAAAGCTTGTCTTGGTTATCACGCAGACCTCTCGCTTCAGTCTCGAGGGCATCGATCTTGTCAAGAAGCTGCTGCTCAAACTCCTTTTGCTCGCGCTCCTTGCTGATCAGCTCGCTTTGGCCGGTACGCAGCTCCCTGGCCTCAATTTCAAGGTTGGCGATCCTGCGACGAAGGTTCGTCTCCAGAGACTGCTGTTGCCTCAGCTCTTCCTGGCTAGAGCTTCGGTGATGAACCCTAATCTTGACAGATGGCAAAGGCTCACTGTTTGTCCGGGCCACCACCAGGGCGGTCCGCGGTGAGGGGCCGGGCGATCGTTGCGGCACGCGAAGCTGTTGATTGCGGGATGGAAGGTTTGAGCTAGTAACGCTGATGTCATCATCAGAATCAGAACCGGTGGTGCTCCGAGTAAACCGGACGGTAGATTGGGTTGACTTGTTGGATTTTGAGGAGGATCTGTAGATGCTTGTTGGTGTCGCATCACTGGCGCAGTCCGAAAGGGAGAGCCTCGAGTCGACTGTAGTGGCCAGAGTGCTGGTGCTGTTGGAGTGCATCGAGGATTCCGAGACAGACTCGGTTTCGGTATCCTGATCGTGGTACTCGTGAGGGCTGTTGTCAAGAACATAGCGTGGCGCAGAAATAGTGCGCACACCACTAGGAGGAGGAGGGCCGTAGGGACCATCATGAGGGCCCTGAGGAGGGGTTGGCACGCGGGAGGGGCGCAAGTTGAGGGTTCCACGACGTTCTTCGGGGAGGTTGATTACAGGAATCTTGGCTCTGAGCACCCTGCGCGGGAGGCCAATTGAGCCAGTGGTTGTGTGGTGTGGGAGGGGAGGCCGTCCAGGCATTCCAGGGGCCAGATGAACTTGGGTGGGCATTGGAGCGCCCCTTGGAGGGGCTCTTTGAAGAGTCATATGAGGGTTAGGCGAGGGTATGCGGGAAGCGGGTGATGGCATGCGTGGAGAGGGTATCCGCGACGGAGAAGGAGAGGGTATCCGGGAAGGCATGGAGAGGCGCTTCTGTTGTAGGCTAGTCGTGGTCATGGGCTGGCCCATCATGACCGTGCCGTTCATCATCATGGGGCCACCAGAGAGAACAGAGCTACCGATATCAGAGCCGCCCGTCTCAGAACCGCTTCCTACTTCGGGGATGTTTGACGAGGCCAAGGATGAGTCCGAGTTCCGTCGAGCACGACCCTGTGTTGGTGGTGGCCGGCCACCCCTTCGGAGGATAGACTTTGGTTGACCGTTTTGAGGAGGTCCTCGTCTGTTTGTGAGCTGGAGAGGCCAGTTCGAGGTTCTGTTGGGAGGAGTAGCGGTGCTGGCGGTACTAGTAGTGCTTCCGGTGTTGCTGCTGACATTGCTGAGTCTGTCATCCGAAACAGAGAAGCCCCTCATATGCCCTGGTCCTCCGCCTGGCCTAGGTCGCTGTGGGTATGGAGATCGATCTCCCATTATGTCTATGATGTTGTGATGTTGTGATGATAGAGGATTCGGTGTTGTGTTTGTGTTTGTTTGCCTGCGGGTATGTTCTGTATGACGGCCGATACTCGCTCGGATGTGCAACAGAGTGCAGACGGGTGTATATGAATATGTTCCGGTTGTCAGGTTTCGAGCTCAAAGCGAGAGTGTGTGTTATGTATGACTGGGCAGGTCTGGCCGGGTATTGGTAGGTATAATGTGTGAGTGTGTGTGTGTGAGTGGGGGTGTATCAAGAGTGTTTGGTTGGTTTGGGTATTAAGAGTTGGTTTGTTTGTTTGTTTGTTTGTGACTGTGTCAAAGAACGAATGTGTGTTGTTGGTAGGTAGAGATTAGGTATTATTACGAAGACAGTACTGACTGAGAGGAGTAACAAGAATTCAGGACGGGAAGGGACCTCGGCGATGGCGGGCTTGAGCTGAACTTGTATAGTCACAAATGGGCATTGCTTGTTGTATGTTTCGCCGCCTCTTTCGGTCTGTCTAGGTAGCTAGTCTGTCTAGCCGCTGGGGACCTGGATGGAGACCTGAAAATCGGCCAAGGCGGGTTTTGGTATTCGGTGAGGAGAGCCAGACGGTGGTTTCCCTGTCAATCTTGGGACTTGTGCTGCACGCAAGAGGGAGCAAAAAAAGAGAAGTGGAAACGACGAAGCGGGCCCCGATACGTGTCCCTGGATCGGCCTGTGGTTAGGGCGCTGGTTCTAGGCTGTTGGACTGCAGCGCGCAGTGTAAGTAGTGTACTGCCCTGGACCAAGGGAGGGAGGCTGTGGTATGGTTGTTTATGAGTCTTGTTCTTGCCGTGGTGGTTGCTGTTGCGCTGTTGCTTTTTTTTTTTTTTTTCCCGCTGCGGCTGTCAGCCTGTCGTCTGATGATGGCAATGCCCGGTGAGCGGACTGGAGATCTTTTGTTCTTCTTTCGACCCGAGGAAGGAACCGGATTGGATTTCTAGTTTGTGTGCGTCTAAACCTGAAGTACACTAAGGTACGAGGGAAGGTGCAGTGCTCGTGCAGTTGCAGGACCTGTTGCAGGCAGTTGCAGTTGCGTCTGCAGTAGTGGGCAGTAGCAGACAGTAGCGGTGGTCGGTATCGAGGTCACTCGATGCTTTGTACGAGTCTGTATTGGAAGGAACGGGGGACTGAGGATCATCGTCAGCCTGGGCCGAAGCACGGAAGGCGGGCAGGAGGAGGGTAGGAGAGCATGAATGGAGGGGCACCACCAAGCGTTACAGAAAGGACGGGCCAGAGTGGGATGGAGACTGACAGCATGAAGAGGAGGGGGATCAGCCGAGCTGACTGAGAGTGTGTGTGTGACCTTTCGTTGTCGCCAACCTCTTGCGCTCTCGCCCAGATGATACTTTGACTTCCTTCCCAATCTCACGCCTACTATCCAGTGTTCCAGTCCCTCCACAATGTCCCGCTCTTGCAGTTTTCGCATTGACTGCACTTCTGTTCTGTTACGAGTTACGACGCTTTCCTCGTTGCAGATAGGGAAGCAACGGAATTCGACAACTCGGCCTAATCCGGTTAGCCATCGTTTCGTTCCGCTCCCGAATCGGAAAAGTGCATGGTGCCATGTAACTGATGATGTCTTTTTTTTCCTTCTTTTTCAGTTTCTGTTTCTGTCTCGGTTCAAGTCAGCTTTCCGCGCAACCGCGTCACTGATTTTTCTTCCGTATTTACTGTCCTCTGCTCCTTCCGTGAGTGCCAGAAAATGAATGGCTGGAATTGGGCATGAAGAGGAAAGCCACGGCGAGACACGGTGACGACGTCGAATCGGGTGGCCGTCAGCCCCCCGGGATGCCCCGTTCCGCACACCACGGGTTCTGGGTAGTTCCAGTAATTTTGATACAATTTGTATAGTCGCCCTGATGGGCTGGAACTGGGCAGTAATCGGGCCTCTTTGTTGTACTCTCTGTAAGCGCCCCTACGCAATAAGATACACAAGGTTAATTGCCGTGGGGGAGTACAGTTCGTGACTACTGACCAGCAATATCTGTCGGACTCAGGCGGACCGCAAATCCAAAACACGTTTGCGCACCATCACGGGCCCTCATCAATCGGCCTCGTCAACGCAGCATCGAGGCATTTTGAATTTGCGGTGATGTGGTGATTGCTCAGGCCAAAAAGAAGTCCAAGACGGAGGAAGCTAGGCGGCGGCCCGGGGAAAGGCTAACAACAGGCCCCACTGCGCTAGAAACCAGCATCTCCCATGTAACCCTTCCTCTTGTCACTGCACTTCCAGAGAGAGATAGACACCACGGCTCGAGCACGAATACCACTTAAAAGACCACTATCAACATGCCAACATACACGCGACTTCTCCTGTTGATCCCGTGTTCTGGTTCAACACTGATCGGATGGCGAGTTGGGGGCGGGGTGTCCGTTTGTTGGCGACAACAAGCCCGGACGCCGGAGAGGAGTGTGATTTTGGTGGCAGGTCGAATTAACGGGTCAACAACAATCAAGAGGGTCTCAGCAATCCAGGCCGCAGCTTGCCACTCTGCAATGGACGTATGATGAGAAAAGGAATTGCTAAATCACTGAACAGCTTCAAAGACGGAACAGACAGTCGGGCAAGAGTTCAGGGTCCAGGGCTCCAAGTCCCAAAGAGATCTGCCAAAGTCCGCCTCATCCCAAAGCGAACAGCCCAACTAAAAATCTCTTCTTTCTTCAGTTGTGCGGGTTTCCGTGTCTACCGTGGTACATCCATGGAACAATTCTGTAGCTCGTTCTACTGGTACAGCATCTCCTAGAACTGCGTAGACGTGAGGCTTCCACCCTCTCACCGGGCCTGATGGCTGGTAGTGCCCGAAGCTTGCAATCGAGTCGTTTGCCTGGCTCGACTGGCTTGCTTGGTACTGGATCGTGCACACATCTTGTCCAACCGTGATGGGACTGTGACGGCTTTTTCATGTCCAAGAAACTGGGAAGAGGAACGTCAGCGGCTCTCTACCTCTTGGTCACTCGACTTGTTCAATGTCTTTATCGGGATGTGTATCTAGCCATTGGTGGACCCTCATTGGTTGGCGCTAGAGTGGTCTAAGTGGGAAGCAAGCGACGTGTTGGGCAGCAGTTGGGTTTCAAGCCCCGGTCGACCGACGTGGTCAGCCTCCCTTTGCATCTGATTGGAACCCTCATCCCTCAACCACCACATCTCTTCTGTAACCACCCCCTCTGACAGAGATGGAACAAGACCGCCTCCTGCCGGCGCAGTCTTCCAGAGATGCCGCCCGCCCTCAGTCTTCCTAAATCATGCACCCCGTCAAGTCGCCCGCATTTTGCCTGGTCTCTAGCCACGAGCACGGCGACTGCTGTGACAAACTTTGCTCAAGGTAAAATGCTTCACGGCATCAAAAACCACATGGAAATGGCGAGAATGGCCTCTCGGATCACAGGAATGTCAAGGCTGCATGGCGTCCGGCCCAGTATCGCCTTTGCACAGCAGCAGAAGCAAGCCCAGAACCACACCCAAATGATCCATCACCTGCTTCAATGTTTGACACAATTGACGACTGAAGAAAGAGAGATCCGTTTGCACTTCATATTGAACGCGGGGCCACACTTTTGTGGATGTCAACATCACCTCACCACCTCTTTTTTTTTTTTCTAGTTTTCTTTCACCTCCAGAGATCGTCTGGAACGATGGGGGCCAAGCCGCCATCGAATGGAGCACAGCCTCCAAAACAGCAACAAACGCCAGGATAAACAATCAAGCATTCCATCCCCCGACTTTTCTCTTGTCGCTCCCTGATGAGAGCCTAGGCCAGGAACAGGGACTCAGGTTGGGCTAGACATGCCCATGCCCTTGCCCCTGAAACGGTGAAACCCTGGGGTAAAGGATCCCCGCAACAAACAAGCTCGACAAGGTCTCCTCAACTCCAACGACGTCCGCTTGGCTGATCATCACCATCCCGAGACTCGGGTTTCCCGCTATGAATCGCTGAGTCGCTGTTGTCGGTCTGCAACAACCTCTTTACCTTGTTCAAAACTTGGGCAAGGACGTCGCACAGCGCGGGCTGCAGCGGCACAAGCAATCATCGTCTTCATCACTGACCCTCTGACCTAAGACCGACTGTGTTACGGTGGGGGGTTCATGGGGCATGGGGCGCAGTTTATATCCTGATCGCTTCTTGTCACACTTGTTCGTTGAGGCCTGATTCTTACCGAATCGATGCGATGGCAAAAATCATGGTCAGGGATAGGACTAGGACAAAGAGGATGGGAGAGAAAAAAAAACCGCTCACAGCGTGCCGTTCCGTCTCTGGAGACAGGCAAGCGATCAGGCAAGCGATCAGGCAAGCGAAAAGGTAAAGGTGAGGCCCGAGCAAACCGGGGACTGAGGAGGAGGCTCAGGCTGTTTCACAGTTTCAAAAGTCTGGAGATCGAACGCGCTCAGAACGGTCAACTTTCCCCCCGTCCTGTTTGGTGGCGTGGTAGCCAATCCAATCTCTCATCGACCCCGGCGCCCGTTCGCCGCCTCTCACCACCCAAGCACCGTGGTCCGGTCCCCTTCTATCCCCGGCCGGTGCCATGTGGGAAAGGGTCGTCAGAGAAGGGTCTGGAATGCCGAACGGCTGCCCAGGCAGAGTCCTAGGGCCCGAATAGCTCAATCTTGGGGCGCGATCCAGGTACGTATTCCTCCAACCTCACACCGGGTTCCTGGCCTAATGTTGCCAAGACTCAACTCACAACCTGCGCTCTGCGGTACGCCACAGAGGCTTTGAAGATGCAGTCCACGATATGTTGACACGACTTCACTTGACCTTTTTTTCATGACGCGCTATCCACTTGAATTGTGACTCGATATGAGGTGTATGTGCACTGTTGCTGTCATTGAAGTGGGAGAGCGAAGTCCAATCACCAACCCTCAGGAAATTCAGCCCAGCTAGACTTCAGTGCGAGGAGGCAGTACTTATAGAAACCTGAGAATACATGGACCATACTCGGTGTGCAGACCGCACTTCTGTAGGAATTACCT